GGTTTTCCCCCCCCCCCTCAAACGATCCCCCCCCCCTCCCCGAACCATAAAGAGACAACTGCAAAAAGTAGAATGGAACTGACATTTATTCATATCCATAATAAAGACTTCGCAATTACAATAAACCACGCCAACCTGTCCAGAGTAGACATATTTACATAAAACTATGAAATAAGATGTTTGGAAACAGCCAAACCAGTAGCACTATAAATCCAGATTTCTCATTTGAAAATCCTCATCAGGATAGAGTTGGGCCGCAATCGTCCGACCAGCAAAGAATCGGCCATTGAGTGCATGGACAGCATTCACAGCTGCGGCATGACTATCAAAGTGGACAAAAATTCGGACGGCGGCAGTACTCGACGTCCCGTTTTCACTTTCATCCGAGGGCATTTTAACGTAGACGAGAACGCGAAGAATTTGACCGAATTTGTTGCACTCTTCAGCTACTTCTTCCTCTAAATCAGGATCCACTTCTTCAGGGGTTACCATGTTCTCCAAAAGCAACACTCTAAAATGGAAGACAAAGCGAATCCATTTAAGAGGATAAAGGCACATAGTGATTGTCTGGAAAAATGTCGCCGCAAATTCTGTCTGTCGACCAAAGCAGTTATAATTAGTATAATATAGCAAGATGTGATTGGGATAAAACGTACTTGCAAAGGGGTTTTCTTCAAATAACTTATACTAAGCGTTCTAACAAACTCCAAGTGAAAAGAAATAAGATTTATTGCTTACCTAGAGAGTTCATATTCGAGGTGAACAGGCGAAACAGCAGAAGGAGAGTAGGCATCTTCAATAGGCATCTCGTTCTGCTCGGGCTGCTGTGTCGTCATGGCAATATCCTCATCATCCCATCGGGCTCCAGCGGTCGCTGAACTGCCCGCAGGAGCTACGAAAAAAATTCATTGAAAGAATTACACGAGTAACTAATGCAGTCTCATTATTATTATCAGTAATGGAAGCATAACGATTTAAAAACAGCTAGAGTAAATGACAAAAGGGGAATACATTACCAATTAAAAACTTTGAAGAAAAACAATCAACAAATCTAGAGCCTAACAGACAAAGTACGTTCGAAAAAGTCTAGAACGTCATTTCGACATCGAAAAAAATCGACTATATTGACTATCAAAATAATTTTTGAATGTCAAACACACAAAAGATTTATGGTGATAAGAGAGCAGTCTCAAACATACCAGGTACACCAGCAGGTGCAGACTGTGACGGAATACCAACAGATCCAGGTGGGATAAAAATTCCTGGAGGGGGCACTGAGGCACCAGGACCAAAACCAGTTGAGAATCCTGATGAAGTGGCTGGAGCCGCAGATGATGCTGGAAACGACGTGACGGATGACAGTGATGCCTGCAAGGAAAAAAACGAGGTCAAACGATTGGTTGGGATATAAAATTAGCGCATCTCCTTAAGGCAAAGCTTGAAGTGTGCAAAGACCCATCCCAGGACACCTTAACTGAAAGAACTAAGGGGGATTGGTAAGCAAGAGACAACTTCCAGCGTTTATTTATAACCGAATAGGCGGAAACGATTGATGTCAGCCAATAAATAAAGCCTAAATTGTGAGAGAATAAGAGAGATGACAGAAGAAATCCGAATCAGATTAATGACACGCTTACCATTCACTAATAATGTCACCTGTCTACTTGATATAATCTAGTATTTAAGCTATAAGATTTGAACTCATCAGACACCATTTCTTTATTCCTTGTGTTTTTTCCAACTGCTCAAGTTTAAAGAGAAACCAACCCACATGTATTAAATGAATGTAATAATGAATCCTCGAGAGGTAACTGTAAGGTAATAACTATTCAGTCAACGTAGCGGTGAAATCCCCTAATAATCCAATGACATAAGTCGAACTTCAGTAAGGAGTGACTAGAGCATTCCTCCTCACGTTCAAAAACAGGAGCGTTAGGTAATGGATTTGGGGCGGTAGGACATCCAATTTCAACAAATAGTCCTTCTGTTTCACCAATATAACTTTGACAACAGTGATCAATTGTAATAACATGAAGAATATATCAATCCACGATTACATGGGAGACAATTAATAGGTGGATGAATTGGTGAGCAGATGAAGGTCGTTAGATGCGTTAAGTAATTGCTCGTCTTTAATACCATATCAACACCATTTTATTGTAATAAGAAACTCATCGAACGTTCTTGGAAGTTTTCGAGAATATTAAAACCTATTTAAAGAGTTTCAGATAAAAGACAGCATTTTTTAGATAAAGTGTTCGTTTGAAAATCCAACAAATTTATACCGTAGACAACTCAAACTAAGAATCATACCCAAGCACAAGGAATAGATTTACACAACATTTGGCTTCAACTTTCTAGATCATTTAATGTAATTTACATCCACTGGCATTAATAATACTAAAATTAAATTTTTAATTAACAGAAAACCAAATTGCTACTGAAAATCCGACAATGCGACAAAAAGTGATTGGAAAACGTTCAAGTCATAAACCTCTACTTAATTAAATTAAGTACTACAGAAAATAAGAGCAAAATATTCGGAAGTGATGAAGCAAATAAATAAAAATACAACAAAATAACATATAAATAGAGAAATTGTGATGATAAGAAAATGCCAACCATAAAAATGGCACCTTCTATCAAGTTCAATCGAACCACGTGAATAGGTATAAAAATTATTGCAAGTGGTGTTCACAAAAATGAAAAGAAGATTCAAACAAGGAGGCCAATTTGATTTAGATTTAATGAAAAGAGTTAATTGACTCTTAAATGCAAAGAGTCAGCCGAAAACAAGCCACTACAATTCATTAAATACACTCACTTCCTTCGAAACAAAAGATTTATGAAATAACTATTTGGCTCGTCATTCAATTTACACCAGCCACATGAACACAAAGCACAAAAAATATGGTAAAATTGTACTGAGAAGTAAATAACAAGCATATAAAGTATGATGTCAACCGAGTCATTATTCGTTTTATGTCAATTAAAATTTGAATTGAAACATAAACACAATACTGAAACAACAACAACAGCAGAAAAATTATCGAGATTTACAAAAAAATGAATTTAATATGACCGATCTCCAAATCTCCCGGTATTGATTTAGATTCAGGTGCATATACGAGACTGATGAAATTATAAGACACTGGAAAAAGAGCCGCAGTGAGATGATTAAACATAACGCACAACAATTCAGGAATGTGAACACAATAGATCCGCTTTCGAAGGAGAAATAGAGGCCATTAGAATAGCACTATGCCAATTATGTTGCCTGGATACGAAATTCACCAAAACGCGTGACAATTATGTTGCCTGGATACGAAATTCACCAAAGCAGTGATACTTCCGGACTCACAGTCAGCAATAGACTCTATGAGCAGAGACCCACCCAAAACAGCTGAGATTAAGGAATGTAGAAAACTCAATCATCTGCTGAGAGAGAAAAACAAAACAGTGGTCCCACAATGGATTCCTGGTCACTGTGGCATTAAAGGCAATGAGCTTGCTGACACACTTGCTAAGAAGGCGACAACGATTTTGCAATTCATGGACCGGCCGATGTCTTTCCACACAATGAAGGCCTTAATCAGAAGAGAATTCCAGACCTCAAGGTGCAACGAAATTAAAGCTCGAACAAAGGAGAAACAGTGGACAGTGGCAATCTCCGACATACACGACTGGCCAAGAATCGAAGCCGTTGCTGAGTTTAGACTACGTACCGTACACGATTGCTTGGCAAAACACCTTCACAGATTGGGAGTATACACTCTACCCACATGCCCCAAATGTAACCTACAGGAGGAAATGGAGAAGACCCACCTGATTCGATGTCCAGCCAAAAGACAACGACGGAAAGCTAGAGATACTGGGAAGCAAGAAGACAGCTAATGAACTGCTATTAATTAACTGTTATAAATGTACCCCCCACACTTGGGGGAAGCTGAAGTCAAAGTTTGAGGGCTAATGATAAATATCATAAAGCCTGCCATTTGAAATAAATAAATACTATTCAGGAATGCGTGAATATTAATACGCCACAATGAGGAATATAAACAAACTGCTGATAGTAAATAAGGAAAATGGAGTAAATAACCATTAAAAAGCCAATATGCAATAAGAGCAACCACTCCGAATAGACTAAAATATAAACATATTTCTGTGATTAGTAATACCTAAAAGCGAAAATTATCAAGAGAGGAGAGGGGGCAGCTACACGAAGCACTTGAAACTAGACTGGAAAGAAAAAACCCAAACAGTATATGGGAGTAATGAGAATACACGCTAAAACGTGATGCTCCATCAGAGTAGCTTTTCAAGTAAATGTAATTGATTTTTGGTTAGATGCCCCGATAAAAGAGAATGTCAATCACATTGCGGGAACAAAAGAAGACCTTACCGCGCAATTTAAATGGGGAAATTTGCATTGAGACGATTTTCTATTTTACTAAAAGCCAATGAATTAGAGGGACGTTAAGCCCGAGCCAAATCAATTAAAGATTACTTATTCATGTGCAATGACTTGAAAGATATAGAAAAGCTGAAGATAAAATTTATACTGTATCTTTTAAATGAAACCCAACCAATGCAGAAAACGAAATAGAGAGGACAGTTAGAAATTCGACCAAAGCAAACTTACATCATTTGAAGATTGTGAGGCATTTTCATGTTCCAATGCTGAGACTCTAGCCGAAATGCTAGCGGCAGCCGCTTGAACAGCTGCCGTGGCACTCGCGGAGGGTACTGTCGACCCACCAGAAACCGCACTTTTTGGAGTTATCGCCCTCCCCACTCTCAATACCGTTTGAGCGATTTCAAACCCATTCATATTAGTTACAGCTGCAAGAGCAGCTTCTTCTGTCTCAAATTCAATCCACCCGTAGCCTTTGTGATTAATTTCCGGTTGACCAAACTTGACATCTGGTTCAAGACTAAACAGAAAAGATGACTACGACCAGTTACGCTACTTACTAGCAAGATCTAACGGTTCCAAATGCCTCAAAAACAGTTTGAATATCTCCTTCGGATAACTTTGGATGAACGCCGGCTATGTAAATTCGACATTTATTCGAGGGTTCTTGACGCAATTCAGCTTCAAGAGAGGAAGTTTGGGGAGCATTGCTCGGTCTACCAACTTTAATTCCCCGTCCGGCGATCATAAATCCATTCATTTGCTCAAGAACTAAGGAGGCAGCTTCAGGAATTTCGAACTCAACGAAGGCAAAACCCTTGTGCTTTTGCAGGGCAGCATCCCAACTAAGGGAAATGGACTTTATAGGACCATACGGAGAAAATGCTTTCCGAATTTCCTCTTCACCGATCTCGAAACTAATAGATCCGACGTAGATACGACTAAGGAGAACGAGAGCTTGAGTTTGTTTAATGTTATTCATATCCTAAGAACCTGATAAAAAAGTCAAAATAGACATACCTGAGTTTGCAATTGTGTCATCTGTTTGCGAACTGCATTTTGAATACTCTGCTCAAGAGCATACTTTTTAGCACGATCAACTGCAGCTTTTTGCTCAGCAGATAGCGTAATTAGTTGGAAGGGTGGAACTTCTTTAACCTCTTTACCATACACAATCGGCTCCCGTGATTCAGGGCCATTATTTGATGTAACAGATTTACGGTAAGCATTAATATATGCTAAATCGTCGACATTAAACATGTTCAACAAGAGAAGATCCCCCGCCCTAAACAAACGGTCTAACAAATTGATATGCGCTAACTAAAAGCCAATAATTAAAATAAAATATTGAAAACGTTCGCTAAACAGAAAATAATAAAAGTATTAAATTGTGTCGATTCAGCAATATTTGTTTTGTGGCTTAATGACTATTAATTGCTTCAACATTTTTAAATGAGTAATATTCGGATAAATTAACTTTAATTTTATCATATTAACCACCTTCAGTGATGGTATCGTCTCAATGCCTTCAAAATAGCAAAATTATTTTTTAATGTAGATGCTTGTGGGCTCGATGATATCTTGGACTTTTGTGATGAGGTGCCTTTGCAACATATTATAAACATTCTCGGACACTTGTTTTTACTCTCAATATTTGACAGATAATAATGAAAATTTAGATTGCTCTGTGCCTTTCACGTTCCTTTGTCATCAAATGAGTTCGGGGTCATGGAAATAGTAAAAGAGTTGGTAGAAATGAATGAGACTTAAGAGAGCTTTTAAAGGAGTGCTTTTAGTCACAGAATAAATGAAGCCAGGAACCATGTGGTAACTAAAATTGATCAACTAAACGGATTTCACTAATAAGAGGGAACTAATTATGAATAACTTCGTGGGGCAATCGATTTTGATGAATAAACACTCAATTCCAAGCATCGCTAAAAATTCAATATATATCACGCTGACTAGCATGGCAATATTTGCAAAAAATTTCGATTGAAATAATGATCATGTTTGGACCACTTAGAGCGATAAGTAAAATGTTCTTAGGAAATTTTTCCCCCTTGAATTTCGAGCGTTAATAGTATTAGCTTAATGATATGACCGTAGGTTGGGGGGGGGGGGGGAGGGAAGAACAGTTTGTACAAGCGGATAGTAACACTCGTGAGTACGGCACTAACATTCCGCAGATTAATAGCAATACCAAGTAATACCAATTAAAATACAACTCCGCAGACAGTGATTTATTTAAATGCTAAATGGCTGGAATAATAACTAGTTCCATTATTCGTTTGAAATTAAAAGGGAAAATGGTTTGTTAATGGCATCAAAAAATATGAATGAAACTTTGTCTACTCGATTTTATTTCATTTGAAACTAATGATCAAGCTCAAGAAATTGAATTACTTATTTTGAATAACATTTAGAATCAATCGACGCAACAAATTAGCTTGTGAGCCATTAATTAGAGGATTATGAATGCACAAATTGTGCCTTGAATCACGACCACTAACACTAAAGTTGTTTATTAATTCACAAAATGAATAAACGTAATAATACCAACACAATAGAAGGTAATTCATTAGGTCAATACATATTAACACTGTCCTTAAGTATGTAATAACTCTGCCGTTACTTTTCTCGATTGGCTCATCTAAAAGGTACTTATAGACTTTTTATCACCTGTATTACTTGGCTTTTTTCTTTAACATATTCTAATGATGATTTTGCAATTTTGATTATTTACCAAAATTTTTTATTCATGTTCGAGTTCACACAGGTAATTATGAATTATTCTCGTAATTTCTTTTATTTTGGAAGCGTCAATTTGTGTTTACGAATATTTTAGAATAAATTGATGCTTACTCATATTTATTTGCCACCTGGGGGTAAATTTAAGCCGTCGTGGAATATATGATATAGTCTTTCCTCGTTGTCATCAGTTTATTTGGTTTAAGTCATATTTCGATAAATTCACCAAAGTGGAGTACATGTCGTGATTACTTTCATTATTTATTATTTTTGTGTGGTCAATTTCATTGTCATCTTATACGATTTCTTCAACGAATTCAACTCACCTCATTTGTCATTTTAGATGCTAGAACAGAAAATTGGCCTCTTGTGAATTTCACTTCACTTTGCGTTCTCATTCTTCTTTATTTAATCACCGTTCTATGGCTTGGTCCATTGTTGATGTCCTTCCGAAAGTATGCATTTGATATTCGAAATTTCTTGGTTGTCTACAATGCTTTTCTCGTTCTTCTAAACGGATATATTGCACAACTCTTAATCAAATCAGTCTGGGCCCTTAATTATAACATTCTTTGCCAGAATATATCTTACTCAAGGGACCCTATTGAAACCCAGGTATTTCTTCCCTTACTGGCTAACCATTGTTTAGATCGCTTCAGGTTTGTGGTACTACTATGTATCAAAATTGATCGAGTTGGCCGATACGATTTTCTTCATTTTGCGAAAGAAAAAATCACAACTAACTTTTCTTCATATTTACCACCATGTAACAATGCCATTTTGGTGTTGGATTGTTGTCAAATGGTATGCCGGTGGTAGCAGTAAGTAGTATTGCTTCACACTGACGTTATTTTAGCTTTCTTCATCCCTGCTATGAACAGTGTTATCCACTGCATAATGTATACCTATTACGCAGCTGCAGCTTTTGGCATCAAGTCTGCCCCAAAACGTTGGATCACTGTACTGCAACTGATTCAGTTTTTCGCTGGGGTTATATTCGGAATATCACTACTCTTCAACGATTGTATCTTCATTCCATGGCCTCTAATATATTTAGGCCTTGCATATGGAACTACTATTATCCTTCTATTTATTAACTTCTACCACAAAGAATACACAGTGAAATCCCAAAAAGTACGAACAGCGTAAAGTTTCTAGAAATATCAAATCATCAATGAATGATTAATGAATTTTGTGGTTACAAATATATACAACTTTATTCATACAATTCAAGTATATTCAGACTATTTTCTTTTTTATCCTTCAAGTATTGTTTGAAATATTTTGACTTCCGAAAGGTCTCGATTTTTCTCCGGATCTGAGTGGGAGTGAGTTGGTAGAGGTTTTTGGAGTCTCGAGACATAGACTCAATGTCGGTTCCATAGAGTTCAATCATATACATACAGAACATTCTGTCGTCCTCGGAAATGAATTTTTCTCGGATCTTCTTGGAGGCTTTAGCATTTTTCAATTCTAGTCAAGAATATACGAAGAGACAATTGGCAATTTACCTCTCACTGTTTTAGTTTCACGAATGAAGCCCTCTTCGACCTCGGAGTCCTAGACACAATTTGAGAAAGCAAAAATTAAGCATACCGATTTATAAATATCTTCGTTGGGATCGTAGGTTAGACCTATTCTTTTGAAATTGGCTGGTGCTGAAAGGCTTTTATCCCAGGACTTTTTGATGATCTCACTAAAAAATTAACGCGAATAAGTGTGCATACTTTTGTACGATGATTTCTTTCTTGCTCTTCTTACGCTCCTTTCTTCGATCCTTTCTGTAATCGAACGAAATCCTTTTACCTCTACCCATGCCTATGGTATGTACCCAATTAACCTTCGCGATAGATACTCGGATTGCGCACATTCATTGTAGCATATCTAAACAAAGTTGTTAATCTGGTCAATGTGCGAATCAGTAATTAAATACCGCATTACTGATCTGTTACTAAAATTTTTTCATCTGTTAATAGCAATTATGGTCGAAACGATTTTACAATTGCTCATTAGCGTAACGCTGACAATAACATCGACGTATAAGAGCTATTATCATTTCAACAAATGGAAAAGGGCTATAGATTAAAAATAT